CTGAGCGAGGAAAGACTGTGCCCACACGGTGCAGAGGGATGTGTGAGCTGAGCCCCATCCGGAGCAGCTCCTGCGTGAGCATCCAAACTTTTGCAATTTTTTTTACAACATTTTGCAAAATCTTGTGGTGTTTTTTACAAGGGCTGTGTGCTGAAAGAAGGCCGTGCCACCCAAACACGAGCCGCTTTACTGCCGTAGCAATGTTAGTTTTTGTGCACAGCCTCATTCCAGCTCAGTGACACCGCGGCACACCTGCTGTGCTCTCAGCCCCTGGAACTCCGCTGAGGACAGGGTGTGATTTTGGAGCCAGCATTCCACAAACATGAGTTTTTCTGATCTTAAAACAAGGGCAGGGCATTGCTCAGTGTTGGGATGGGTCTGCGACAGGGAGTGCTTTGCAAAGGGAAAGTGCTCCCAGCAGTGCATCATGGCACAGACACCTGCTTGCCCTCATCCTGGATACACAGCTGGGTCCCAGTCCCCCATCCACCAACAAACCCATGTGTCCCCAAACCCAATGCTTGGCTGCAGTGGGCTGGAGGCAGCTGGGGATGTGTGCCTGGAGGAGGTAGGGGCTGAGTCTGGGGCAGGGGGTGGGGGATAGAGGAGGTATCGCTGGGCAGTGGGCATCAGTAGGGAGCAGGGATCATTGGGAATTGGGTATCACTGGGGATCAGGTGCAACCGGGGACTGGGCACAGCTGGGAATTGGGTATCACTGGGGGTTGGGCATCACTGGAGGTTGGGCATCATTGGGAATCAGGTGTCACCAGGAATAGGGCTTGTCGCCATGGCTTGGGTGATTACCGAGTGCACAGCAGCAGGGACTGAGCATCACCAGGCAGCAGGCAGCACTGGGGATCGGGCACCACCGGGAATTGGGCTCATCAGGAACTGGGCAACACCGGCGATTGGGTGGGACCAGGGATTGGGCATCACTGAGCGGATAGCACCAAGGGCCGAGCATCACCGGAGACAGAGCATCACCGGGCAGATATCACCGGGGATCGGGCAGCACCAGGACCGGGCAGCACCGTGCTCTCGGCGGGGCGGCGCGGAGCGGAGCGGCGGGCGGAGCGCCCGGGGGTGGCGGAGAGCGGCACCGCCCCCGGCGCGGGCACCGGGGCGGGGCGGGCCCGGAGCTCCCGGTGCCGGCGGCGGCGCTGGGGGGCGCGGGGGCTCCGTCCCCGCCGGAGCGCGGCCCCTTCCGAGCGGAGGATGAGCTGCGGCGAAGCCAAGGACATGGAAGGTAGCGGCGGTGGGGGGGGTGGGGAAAGGGGGACTCAGGTGCACCGCGGGGATCAGGTCCTCCTACCCGAAATGCGCGGTTTGTATATCCGTCCTGGGGGCTGCCTCCATCACCCTCCTGTCCCCAGCTCCTCCCTCCATCCCGGTGTACGTCCTCCATCCTTGGTGGAACGTCCCCTCTGTCCCTGGGCTCCATTCCCTCCGTTAATGAGGCTCTGCCCCTTCATGCCGGGGTCCTTCTCCCATCCCGGGGGCTGCTTTCCATCGCCCCCTGCAGTGTCCTCTCCACCCCATGAGTCTGCCCTCTCTCCCAGGATTTGTCCTCCATCCCCACGTGCTGTCTCCTCCATTCTGGGGGTCTGCACCTTCATTCCCATACGCAGCCCCCTCCATCCTGGGAAGGTGTGTGTCTGTCCATCCCTATTTTCATCCCCAGTTTTGGGGATACCAATGAAATGGGCTCTTGGACTGGAGAGAGGGGGTGCAAGGACAGGAGCAGGGTGCTGAGCAGGGTGGGACACCTGGGAAGAACTCAGGGACATGGAATGGGCTCTCTGCATGTGGTGTGTCTGTGCTGGTGGGCTCCTACCAGGAGATCCTGCCCTGCCCACATCCCTGTCCCAAGGTGATCAGGGACCCCTTGGCAGCGTCCATGACCTCAGCAGCACAGACACCCACAAAGACACATACAGCCATGGGAAGGACATTGCCTTTTGTTCTCTTCCTCCTTCCTTCCCGCTTGGCTCCGTCCCCGGCCATGTGAGGGGCTCAGGCTTTCACCTTCACAAGCAGGGAATTATGAGGAAAATTATGGAATGGTGTTAATGGCAGCAAGGGACTGAGCTGGGTATGCCTCAGGGGTGACCTGAAGAGTGTGAGCTCCATAGGGTCATTGCTCTGCTTTGGGTTTGGTCCTGTCCTGCTCGGGAACAGCAGGCATTTGGGAATGTCTCAGGGCAGGACCTGGTTTGTAGAACATTGTAGAAGTCCAGCTTCCAGCACTGTATACCATGGGGGTCTCAGAGAGCATTGCTGAGCTCCAGGGCTCTGTGCCAGCAGCAGCTCTGCCCTGCATGGTGGTGAAGCCGCAGGGAAGGGATGGAGGAGCCTGGGACAATGGCAACGCCAGGCAGATTTGTGGCTCATGTAGACACTGCTGAAAGTGAGACAAATCCCTCAAAGAGCCGCCCTGCGAGCAGAGCTGTGCTCAGTTCCCCTATCCCAGGGGTTCCTGGAGAGCTCAGCTCTCAGCCCTGTCCTCACCTCGAGGAGCAGCAGCAGCAGGCTGAGCACTCCAGTGAATCCCTGCCACAAATCCCCCTCTGACTGCAGGAAAATCTCTCGCACCATTTGGTGCTAAATGTCTCTTCCCCTTGGAGACACCAAGCACACCAATGTGGGGTTTGTTCCCTGCAAAGCAAACGTCTCCCAGGGACTGCTGCTGCAGTGTCACCCCTGGGAGCCCCTCCACTCCCCATAGCAAATATGGCCCTGCAGCAGGGCAGGAATGGGGGACATTGATGGCATCAGGGGCACAGAGCAAGCTGTTCCTCACACCTCTGTGCCACGCTCCTTGCACCAGTAACACATGAACTTGGGTTGCTTGCAACTGCATTCCCTGGGGAAGCACAACACGTGTGCGCAGGCACAAAGTGCATTTGCAGAAGGTACTGATCCCGCTGCCCAAGGATGCACTGGCATTCAGACATCCCATCCTCAGCTTTCTGCCTCTGTGCCACATTCCCAGGAGATTCCCATCCATCTCCCCCTCCAGTGGTGCTGCTGCTGCACTGAGCTCCTGCAGCACTTTGCAGCCAGCCCTAAAAGTGTCCAGAGGGGGAAAAACACGGAGAGACCATGTGCAGGGTGAGGGGAAGGCACAGCCAAGTAGCAGCACGGCCTCTGCGCTCCATGCCTGCCCCACGCTGCTGGAGGAGTGCCCAAAATGCATGAAAGCCACTGAAGGAAAAGGAGCCAGCAGCGATTCCCAAGGCTGCAGGCACCCATTCCGTGGAGCAGGGCCCACAGGCTTGGGGGGAATTCGGAAAACCCCCTGTGCCCAATGGGAGCAGAGGAGCTGCGCATCCCAAGCAGGGTCCTAAGGCCGTGCCTGGCTGTGCCATGGCTTTTCCTGGCCACGGTGTGCTTTGATGCCCACTGCTGCTCACTCGGTGCCAGCTGGCCGAGCCCCCCCCGGCCCCGCCGCCGGATTAGCCGGGAGCACGCGGGGAGAGCATGGAGCATCTCTCCAAATCCAACGGCGAGGGTGGGATTAAGGCCCTCGGGCTGTCGCCTCGCCCGGCTGCGCCTCGCTGGGATGCCCGGCAGGGGACCGGCAGGTTTGTGCCCCCCCGTGTGAGGCCGGCGGGGGCTGCTCAGCCCGGAGCTCCCGGATGCGGGGCGAGCGTGCGGCCGCCGTTTATTGGCAGAAGGACGGAGGCAATCAGCGGAGGCAGTCAGGTGTGGAAGAGGCATGAGGGGAGGAAGGGATGGAGCGGCGCTGGTGACAGCCGGTGCCGAGCGCTCGCGCGCATCCCTCCTCCCGCCGGGATGCAGCAGGGCCGCCCGTCCCTCTGCTGCGTCGCCAGCATCCGCGGCTCGCAGGGCGCACCTGAGCCAGGTGAGGGGGCCCGGGGCTGGGGGACGGTGCGGCATCCGGAAGGGATGGGGAGGCTCGTTTGGTTTGGTTTGGGAGAGAGGGATGCGCTGCTGGAATGGGGATGAGAGGAGAAGATTTTCCTCCGTTCTGCCTTTGCTCTGAAGATGGTCCGTGGCTCTGGCACTCCATCCACGCAGGCAGCAGCTCTGCCCTGCGCCATGGTGAAGCCACACGGAAAGGATGGAGGGGACGGGAGTTCTGTCTCAGCACTCCTTCAGTGCCCATGATGGGCACCTGGGGTACGCGGGGCTGGGATGTGGGAGTGGGGGGCTGTGAGGTGCCCCCCGCACAGATCAGAACCCCAGCTCTCCCTGCTCGCTGCTGTTACGGGCTCATTTCCCCTATTGCTTCCCCCCTCTCTCCCATCTGCTCTCGCTGGCTTTCCTGCTTTGCTTTGAGCCGTGCTGCAAGAGGAGCAGAGATACCCACATCCTGCTGCTCCGTGAGCCACAGTGATGGCACTTGGAGCTCCATGGTCATCTCTGGCTAAAGGTCCCCGTGGTGGCAGAGCCCTTCCACAGGGACAGCCCTGGCACAGCTCCATCCCTGGGCACAGAGCATCTCTGTGCAGTTCTAATCCATTTGCTTCCTGTAAACCCCCTGCTCCCAGGGCAAGACCTCATTTTCCAAACTAACCTGAGCAAGAGCAAAGTTTTAGGGTCGGGCTGCTGTTTCCCAAAGATGGATTTTGAAACTGGAAGGCCAGGAGGGGGCACGGCATGGCGCATCCTGTCCACATTGCTGGGACACAGAGCTGCTGCTCTCCCAGCACAGGTGCTCATGGTTTTGTTCAGCTCATACCCAACCATCCCCTTTTCTGGCCCCACGAGAGAGGGCTTGGGAGGCTGATCCGAAGCTGGAGCAACACTCATGGAGCCAACTCTGACATTCCGCTTTTCACTTCCCATTTCCTACAGGATCCAACACATCCAGCCTTCAGACACGTTTATTTCTGTCCTGGCTATAAATTCCACAGGCAGCATTTACATCCCACCTTCCCCTTGCATAAAGGTGTGTGGGAGAGGTGAAACCTCCTCCACTCTGCACCCAGTGGGGCCGAGCAGCAGCGGATCCCCTCCAGCCCTCCCAGCCCTGGTTATTCTCAGCTGCTGGTGCTTTCCTGGTCTGCTTTAAGGGGTGTTTGGAGGCAGGTGAGATGTGGATGCTGCTGCAGATCAGCGCTGCTCATCCCAAACCATCTTCTACCCACACACCCCCAGCAGCATCTAATCCCCTTTGGCCTGCAGGAGAGCTTTGCATCTTCATTGCAATGCAGTCAAACAAAATGCACGAGCTGAGCTTACAGAGGTAAGGGCAAGGGACTGAATCTGGCCATGGTTGCTGCAAAGGTGAGCGCATTGGGGTGCATGCATGCCCCACACACCCCCAGCTCCAGGCCAACCTGCACCCATTGGCGTGCCCCTGGTCTTCTTCTCCAACTCCCTGGGAACAGTTTGACTCCACCTGGTCTCTGGAATCCAGCTGACTGGATCAGAAAAGAGTTTCCATCAGAAAGAGGCTGATGGAAAGGTACAGGATACGGCTGGGCAGCTTGGAGCTAAAAGGGGCATTTTTGGGGGTCCCGGGTGCAGGGCAGACCCGTCTCACCCCCTTTCCTTCTGCAGCTGCCGCTGCCGCCGCCGCTCACTTCAGCTTCTGCCGCAGCCTCCTGGAGCACACGGTGTCAGCTGAGAACCTCAGCTACCGCCTGCAGCGCAGCCCCGGCACCAGCCTCACCTGGCACGACGGGCGCAGCCAGCGCGGCGAGGGCAGCCGTGCCATCAAACTCCTGCGGCAGCCGGGCACAGAGGGCTCCCAGGTATTGCTCGGTTCCAGGGTCAGGATTTTCACTGCTGGGTTTTGTGGTTCTGGGCTGTGAGAGGCTGAGCTTTGCATTGTAGCTCCTCCCCGAAGTTGGCACCGTTCTGCAAGTGATGCGCCAGAACCGAATTCCTTGTAATGCTTTAAAAGAACAGAGGACTTTGTTATGTCTCTTAGGAGGGAAATGGTCGGAACTTGGCTAAAACTGGGAACTTTATGGCACTCATGTGAGCAATGAAGCAGTGAGGCCAAGGTTCCCACACTCCCTGCTGCCGTGCTCTGTGCTGCCATGGGGAGAAGTGGGACGGTGCTCTGTAAGCCCGAGCATAAAAATCATTGTAGCTTTTGGTACTCTGTTAACCCAGGATGCTGAGGGAGCAGCAGAACCTGGCTCCTGTGCTCATGGTGCCTGTGGGCTCGGGGTATTGCCGGGGCCCTTCGGTCCCCACCACCTCCATGTCCCCTTCACTCCCAATGGGGGCACAGCACAGAGCAGAGCAGCTTCCCGGGCAACAGCTGTGCCTCCCAGTGAGGTTTGGGAGTGAGAAAGCTTCTAATTGTGCCACAAACAAGGGAAAACAGCCCATGGAGTGGAGGTGACTTCAATTGCTTGCTTTGGGTCCTCACACTACTGTGTGGGCTTCCCCCATCCAACCCCCACTGCTGGGCATTGCTGCTGCCTGCTCGCCTCCATTCACGGCTGAGAGTTCATCGGAGAGACAGCGCAGCTCAGCCGCCTGGAAAAGCAGCCCAGCATCCATTACAGCCATCCCCACGTCCTGCTGCTCCCACTGAGTGCCTGCACCCAGGGCATAGGGCTGCAATGTGCAGGGGTACCTGCAGCACAGGAACCTGGAGCACGGATATAGCCCCCATTTGTGAAACGGAGCTCGAGAAGCAAGAGGATTCAAGCACGCTTCTGGCTGGGGAAATTGCGGGTTGTCAGTCACCTCTTCCCCAGTGCCCCCGAGGTTAGTTGGGTAATAGCTGCTGGGAGCTCACCGTCATCTCTGTGCGTGGTGGTATGAGGAGAGAGCTCAGCAGCAGCAGGCTCAGCCCCTGCACTGCTTACTGCTGCATGGCGGTGAAACCAGAGCCAGAACCCAGGACCCAGGAGCAGGGTGCAGGGGTGCAGCGTGGGCAGCAGCATGCAGCATGGCAGGGGGATGCAGCATGGCAGGGGGATGCAGCATGGCAGGGGGATGCAGCATGGCAGGGGGATGCAGCATTGCTCCCAGCCCTGCAACTCACTGGAGTATCTCTGACCCCTCCGCCCTCCATTTCCTCCCATTTGACATCACTCAGGGATGTGCCATTCATTTCAATAACCGCGGGATGTCTGGAGACCCTGTTGCACTAATTATCTCTACTCCTCTATTAGGCATGCTTAATTAGCCAATGTTCACACACAGAGGTCGGTGCTGGCACACTGCAGTCCAAGTGCTGCCGACCTTTCTGATGCCAGCAGATTCGTAACTCATCCACTTACTGTCCAAGACAAGGAAGAGGAGTTTTCCAGGAGGGACCCTGGAAATCCAAACCTCTGCCATTGCAGCACAGAGGGAGCTGCCTGGCTCCGTACACCGCTGTGCATTCAGTGTCACCTCCTGCCTCTCACATCAGGACTCAGGTCCCTCCATCTGCCACCAGGGCAGAGCCCATAGGACCCAGGTGATGTCCCCAAGGGTGGTCCTGCACTCTTGCAGCACTCCACTGGGCTGGGAGGTGCATGGTGAACTGGGCCTTCTTCCTCTGAAGGAATCATCTCTGGGCAGACAGGGCAGAACCCATCGCAGCATTTTGCACCCCATAGTGCTGAGCCCCACTGACACTTCCCATCTCCCTTGTAGGGCCGTGGCTGCGATCACTATGGCATCTACCACACCAGCCCAACGCTGGGCAGCCTTACCAAGCCAGTGGTGCTGTGGAGCCAGCAGGATGTGTGCAAATGGCTGAAGAAGCACTGCCCACACAACTATCTCATCTACGTCGAGGCGTTCTCCCACCACGCCATCACAGGTACTGCTGCTACCCCCAGTGCCTTGTGTTCATTGCATAAAGCACTGCTCCAGTCCCACTTCTGCCCAGTTCGTGGCTGGGCAGAGCTCTGAGCTGGCCAGCACCTATGGAGTGCAAAGTGCAGTGCACAGAGCTGCAAGCATCATCCTCGCTGACCCTCAGTGTCCCCTTTTTGCTGGGACCAGGGATGGGCTCACTGGAGTGGGGCAGCTCTATGCACAGCCCTGTGCCCTTGAGGAATGCAAAGCCCTAATGCAAGAGCTCAGCGAGCCCTCCATGTGAGAAATAAAGGAAGCATTAGCTGGGGAACAAGGACAAAAGCTGGTTGTGAATGCCTTATTTAATAGCCTGTGGACTGGAGGAGAGTGGCTGGATGGTGGCAGTGGCACTAATGGGTTTTGATGGGTGCCCTGTTTCCCCCATCCATCAGCCCACGTGGGGTCAGGAGAATGCATCCTGATGCGGGAGGTGGAGTGGAGAATGGAGAAATGGAAAGCTCCTGCCTGCAGGGACAGGGAACGTGATTGCTGGGGCCAGCACTGGTCCTGACACTGGTACCTCAGCCTGAAGCCCCATGACCTCCAAATGCAGTAGGCTAGGGACAGGCTTCTGTTCTATTCTGTTCTGTTCTGTTCTGTTCTGCTCTGCTCTGTTCTATTTTCTATTCTATTCCCTCCTTTCTGTTTTTCTCCCCTTCTGCTTCCCTTCCATTCCCTTCCCTTCCCTTTGTTTTTTTCCCATTTTCTCTGTTCTCTGTATTTTCTTATTCTATCCGACCCTGCGCCATCCCATCCTATTCTACTCTAGTTTCTATTCTATTCTATTCTACCCTAGTTTCGTTTCGTTTCGTTTCGTTTCGTTTCTATTCTATTCTATTCTATTCTATTCTATTCTATTCTATTCTACT